GAAACATTAATGTGCCAGCATGAAATAATATCATTCTGTAGGAGGTAATAAAGGCATGAATTATGTCAAATTGTATTTGGTTCATGGATGTTACTATGCTTCTTATGGGCAGATACAGCTAACAGGCAGTAGAAACACCTGCCCGTCTCCCTCAGAAAATTAAAGTCGTGTGCACAAACATCAGCCTGAGAAATTAGAGGACTGTTTGTGGCAAACTGAAAATGTGCAGTGTTTTAGATATATCTCCTAAGGATAAGGAATATCTCTAGTTACAGCAGAACATAAATTTTCTCCTGGTCCTCATTGTAGAAAGAACCATTAAGCATGTGGTGGCTTCTACTCCTGTTAGGTAATATAATATGCTAAATGAATTTCCTGCTATGCTATATAGTGCCGCCATTATGGACTCTAGCCATTAATTGGTTTGGGGTCATTGGCCATCTCTGCTAATGTGAGGAAGCTACTCTTAAGTAAAATGTACAATGGCATCTCTCATTGAAATGGGCCAGTTTCAAATGATATGCATCATTATGCACGTGTAATGTACATGTGTACAGGTTTTCCTGTGTTTATTCATTAGGGGAAGAAAACCGTCAATTTTGTAAAGTTTAAAGAAAGTATTTACAGGTGCCATTGTGTGCCAAAGTTGTTGAAAAGTTTGAGAAAAATGTGGCACAAAGAAAATGCAAAACTCTATGAGCCTCATTGTGATTTAACCCTTTTGGAGCCAAAGCACTAACAGGGAAAAGCTGCCTCTCTCTTCTTCGGCAGATGCATATAGATGACACCACAAACAGAACCATTGCTCCTGCTACAACCTCGAAAATAATGTGCTCAGTTAATCTACACAACGTAGTCATCCTCTCCAAAAGTAATTCACTTCTTTAAAAACTGGAAGGAAAATAAATATGGTGCAGTAAAATTGTTGAGTAGAGGAATCTATCTGGACATTTCACAAAACATTTCATTATGCTGACAATTCCCAGAAGTACTCTCAAGAGTGCTTTAAGCTGAGGATTACTGCTCTGGAGCTGATGGACTTTTTTTGTAGCCCCTTTAAAAGGCAGTGAACCGTTTTTCTATTTTATTTAAATAATGCCCCTTAAAATGGATTTTTAGAGGTATAATAACTCCTTAAGAGTCAGTTATGCTAAACAGTTTCTCTTGATAGAAATGTTGTAAAACTCGTTAACTGCACAATTTCAGATGCCGGCTTGGTGAACACTAACTGACATGTGAATGACCAGAGTTTGTAAAATAAATTGCAATAGTTGTTGTATCACACAGCTAGCATTGCACAAGCTGGAGGCCACGAGGGGCTCCAACCTGACAGAAAATTACTTCAAGATGAATGAAAAGTGCTTGTTTCTCTTTATTAGTTTTTAGAGAACAATGAAAATGTGGAATTGTTTACAGAGAGCTGATTAAATGTGGTCAGTGGGGCCACGACCCTATTGCTAACTGTTGGCCTCCCCCTCCTCCTGGCCCCCAACCTACATACTCACACACCACACCACTGCAAGCACCCTCCTCACCCCGCCCCCACCCGCAGCCCCCTGCCACATGCATCTTCTTATAGGCTATTATGGCTGCACATCTGTGTGTGAAATGTGCTCATTCTGACATTCCACTGCTGCTTGGTGCTGCAGAGGCCTTTGTTAAGTAAAACACTGTTGTCAAGCCTAACAAGCAGGTCCTGCAATTTGCTGGACACTGTAGCAGAGAATAGCCCACGATGGATGGCTTCAGCCTCAGACAATGCTCAGTTCCATATTGGAATACCTGCATATTTGTTTCATTGTGCAGCACTACAAAAACTCAGGACATTTTGGTTTTCTTAAGACTTTGATTTTGTAAAATATTAAGTTCCTTGTCTTAGACTATCCCAGAATAGCCTGTTTGCTGTATTTACTTAGGATAACTACTATCTTATGGCTAAAGGAAAAGGGCATGAAGTGCTTTAATTGGTCATTTGTGGCTTAAAATCCATTTATGTTTGACCAGAAAGCACAGCAGAGGAAAGGCACTAGCTACCACCTTACCTGACGGACTTGTGTATTAATACTTAAAGGGGTGGTCAAAACCAGGGCATTTAGGAGGATGTTGTGTAGAAGGATTCTCACTACATTATTTCCACAAAGTAAACAGACCTTGAGGGAAAGAAATATGAGAACTCATTAATAAGCATATGTCAAGCACAGAGAAACTAGTCTTTTTACCAGACCAAGCTAAATGAATTAGATCCAAAAGATGTTTTGGTAAACAAAAAAATTAAGGAAAAGCAAATCACTACCATTCAGCTCAACAAACAGCCTTCCATGACCCACAACCTACCTTGCTCCTAACCTCTCCCTTATGCACTTACACACACACGCTGGAAAAATCAGCAGTAACAGGGAGCAGTTCAAATGCTATTTGTGGCATCCCAACACAATACATAGCACACACCCCAAATGTGCAAGTAGGATTCTCTCTCGATTTGTGCAGAACATGCATTCTGAGCCTATTATGTGTATAAACAATGGCATATGTAATTACCTTTCTAGGGTGGCAATTATTCCTCAGAATCAACAATCAGAGTTAAAGCATGTTCCCCCAAAAGACATTTGGGGATCAATTCTGGGTCAATTATGTCAGGCTTTATCATATGGTGTCAGGCCATGTTAAAAAAAAGTAAGTTGAAAAAAAAAAAAAGCTGTGTAAGGTAAAGGCCAGTGGTTTGACTCAAATTGGTTTGTTTCCAACTTTGCTTTCTCCCAGTTGCTCTGCCCTTCCTCCATTCTCAAAACAACTGTGATTTGCTGGGTTTTATTTGTTAGACAGTTTGCTGTTCAGGAATATTAAATGCAGTAAATCTGGACTACGTAAAGATTTTATCTACTCTACCCTACACACACACACACACGCCAGGCACTGGGACTTTCTCCTAGGATATGGCACAGAGTAGGGATGTAATCATTCAGGCTTTGGGTCTAAGAGGTCTGGATTTGGAGTTCCACAGCTTAAGCAAGATACATACCTCCACAGCTCATAGGGCCTACTTCAAATTGTTATTGTGAGATTTAAAAGAGATAATTGAGAGAATATATGTAAAGTTGTTTAGTATCTGACACACCATGAGTACCCTGTGAATACAGAGATTGCTATTCTACTGACAGATGGGCCGGTGCATGAGAAGTGGAGCAGCCCCTCCAAAAGCCTTGTCCATGCGTAGAGTGTGGGCCAGGGCCCAGGGCAGCAGAGTGGATGTTGGTACAAATAACAGGGCTGAAATGGCAAATCCAAGATACCAAATAAGAGGCCAGGGGACTAGACTATATAAAAATATCCAGTTTAGTGCTCGCTTCGGCAGCACATATACTAAAAAAAATCCAGTTTATTTGGATTAATTCTAAGTAGATTGATTATAAACTACCAACCCCTAAATAGCACCAATAAAGGTACTATTCCATTAGCAAGACTATGCTAGGCACCAGGAATATACAGATGGACCCTCCAAGAAATCTTCCAGAACAGGAAATAAATACAGTTTCTTATAACACAAGTTAATAACTAAGACTTCTTGGAAGATACTTCATGCAAACTGAAAGCGGCATAACAAATATCCTGTATCGCAACCAGGAGTTTGGGGATGAGACGATTCAGCCTGTTATAGATGAATCATATCATTAAAGTTACCAGTCCAATTAGAGCTATTCTTTACTGAGGAACAAACAATATTTTTTTAGAAATTAAATTAAAAGGGATAATATGATAATTCCTATCACATTATTTATGGAGCAATATAATCCCTCATTCAAAGAACACTTTAAATCCAGTTTATACAGAGCAACATTGTTTATTTAATAAGATGGAAGTAGCACTTACACAATGCATTTCTCAGGCAGCACACAGTACTATTGGCAGTACGTATTGGCAGCTTAATTAAGAAGTCTGTTGATGATGTTAAGAAAAAAGCTGACACATTTTCAATTCAGATGGACACTCCTCAAGACAAAGATGTGTCTATTGTTGGCTCATACATACCAAAATGTGTCACAGACACTACATAAAATGTCTGGTGTCTACAGTTATATCAGTGTCTTTACACTGGGAAAATCATGACACACTTATACTCATCAAAAATAAATTTTTGGAAAAACTGAACAGTCATTTAACTTATGGAACACAAAGGACAATACAATGAATACTGAAATAATTACTTAACCAAATTTTCATAGAGCCATTGCCCAGATGGGTTTTGTTCCATCCCTGTCCTATCTTGGGTCTCTGGGTACCAGCACCCACGTTTGACCAAATCTTCCTCTTCTTCATGCTAATAACTCACTCAGAATGGCAGGCGCCTAGGACACGGGTCCTCAAGCTGTGGACCAGTATGTAGGAGTTCATGGCCTGCTAGGAACCAGGCCGCACAGCAAGAGGTGGGCCAGTAAGCATTGCCACCTGAACTCTGCCTCCTGTCAGGTCGGTGGCAGCCTTAGATTCTCACAGCAATGCGAACCCTACTGTGAACTGCACATGTGAGGGATCTAGGCTGTGCACTTATGAGAACCTAACTAATGCCTGATGAGCTGAGGTGGAAGAGTTTCACCCCACAACCATCCCCCACACCATCAGTGGAAAAATTGTCTTTCAGGAAACTGGTCCCTGGTGCCAAGAAGGTTGGGGACCACTGCCCTAGGAGGCATGGAAGGTAGTGGACTACAGAGACAACAGGTAAAATTCACCTCCCCACTCCCCAAGAAATCCACAAACAATATATTTTTCCAACAGACTATCTATACCTAAGAGGAGAAAATAGAATTTAATGCAAATTAACTCAAACTATAATGTATTAATATCTCTAAAGTCTACTAAATATTTATGGAATCAATAAAATGGATCTTATCAGAAGTCCAACAAAAAAAAGGGATTAAAATGTCCTGAGTTGCCCATGTTAGAAGTTTTGGGGGTTTTGTTTTGTTTTGTTTTTATTACAGAGACAAAACACTTACAGAATATACTTTTCCACTCATTTATTTCTTGTCTTATGGATACACCTAATCAACAGCAGAAGAAAAAAAAAATGTATCCTGAAACTAACTCTAAATTCATTGAAGACAGGCTCCACACCTTTGTTGCCCTCATTTTCTTCCCCTATTTTGTGCAGTGGTTCACACATAGTAAGTACTGAATTAAGTTGAAAGGCAATGCATGTTTTAATTCACATTAATTTGGAGGGGTTGCACTGATTTAAGGAGCAGCTGAGATAAAAAGGCTAGCTTCGATCTTTTCTGATTTCTAGCTAGTGTGGTACACCGTATTGCAAACTGCCTCTGCTGAACCACTGATGTCCGCTGTGGCATTCTAAATGTCTTGATTTGTTTCCACTTTTGCTGAAGGTAACAAGATGCTTCTCCAGTGGTTATCTTTCCAACAAGAAAATGTGCAAGGTGATTTGAAGCAGGTTCTCAGTGGCTATCTGTCCCAGTCCTAGAGGCAGTGTATCTGTGGACAAATTGAAACCAATTATTAATCCAGGCCTTTCTGAGAACTTTTCAAAAGTACAAAGGTTAGCCTTTAACTGATCACTAAAATGTTATTTAGCTCAACATTTCAAAAACACAACCAGGATCTCTTAGGGTAGTGATACTGTCTAAAGCTTTACCTCCCTACTTTAAATAACGATTTTGAAATCTGTCTCACCCTCAGGCACAGATCCAAGCCTAAGGAAATCAGAAATATCACATACCTGCATATTTGGAAAAGAAATTTTCCCTATCAGGTAAGGATTCTGCATTTTCATTCCTTGCCTTTATAAGTAGGAAAAGCTCCATTCGAGGTCCCAAGCCTTACCCCTTTGTGAATTGTAAAGTCCCTGTCTGTGTCCCATCCTGTGGTACCATATGGAGGGCTGGGAAACAACAGCTGCAGATAGAGAAGTGTGCTGTGAAGCAATCAGCCGGGCAGAAGCACACTCTCTTCAGCAGAGGCTCTGAACCAGCCAGGTGGGTCAAAGACAGAGGCATACACAAACACTTGAAACATCAGCTAGGTAACAAGGGCCCCATGAGAACACTATGGAAGAATCCAGTCATACCTTGTGTATTAGTTACATCATCATGGACCAGAAAAGAGAGGCATCTTTACAAGAACTATTTCGACTCATTCACATGTTCAGGGGCTGCTTTCTCTTTGAATTGTCTTACTGCAGACCCTGCCTCCACCACCCCTCCTTGCTAAGGCCCTCTTCCCCTCAGCCTGGAATCAGATGGCCTCCTAGCTAGGCCTACACCACCTCTGCCATGGTCTCAATTCCTTCCCAGTGATGCTACCTCCTCTGGGCCTCCACTGCAATTATTCATTCTGGGCTCCCTCTGAGCTTGGACCCCTGACATCTAAACTTAAAAGGCCCACACTTCTGTAACCTTCAACCCATCCTCATCACAGCAGGCCACAGAGAAGCAACTTCAGCCCAGCAGATGGTGAGACTGGAATTCTATAGCTGACCACAAATGCATTCAGTTGCACTAACTTTACACTCCTTATTCATTTCTCCCTGTTTTCCTAGCTCCAAACACGTTGGCTCAATCCTCACAGCTGGAGTCTGCCCTGACTGAATTTTCTGTTTCCTACAATGCCTTATGCCTTGCCCTGAACTAAAAATCTACTTGACTAGGGCTCTTACAAAATTATTCTCTAGATTCCATTCCAGGCCCCCAGCTGCAGGCTGGGATCCAGCTGTGATCAGACTGCCTCCTTCCATGATACCACCCCTCCTGACTCAAAATCTCACCTGACATCTACAATTCTAGTGGCCCAAACCTCCTGCTAAATTAATTCTCCTCAGGTACCAACGCCTTCCCTGAACCAGTCCCAAGATCATCACATCCACTTGGTCACTAAGGATTGGGCTGCTGGCTTACCCTAGTGAAACCAGGTTCCCAGTCCCTAATACACCTAATCTTGGCTTCCTCCTGTTTCCTGGAAACCTATGCTGCTGAGACCCTTCATAGGAAGCTCCTCTGCCCAGCCTAGACAAATTATAGCACTATACATATGAACATCCAGTCAGTTATTAATTTATTTTTACCTCATTCCATTATTAATGGCCTCTCCCATAGCCTAACCCCTGCCTGATTTTTGACATCTCCCAGTTTCTTATTTCACATTATTTTCTAGTCTCCAGCATGAAGTCTCTGCTTCAAGCACACAGGTCTACTAACCTCTAAGCTCATTCTGAATCTCTGTTCACATTCTCTTTTCTGCCTTCTTAATTAGCTCCTTTTCATCCCTTCGCCTAACACTTGTGACACAATCTAAAAAGTCTTCCCCAAGAAACAAATCCACATGAATTTATCCCTTATCTGGATTCCTTCAGAATAATCAATATCATACAGTTTAGCACTTGATTTTAACTAAATGTTTGGTATACATTACCTTCCCCAAAAGACTGTGCTAGTCCTTTGAGAAGTGGGATAAAGGTCACGTCTTATATTTATTATGCTTTCTCCAAAGTGCCTGGTGCTGATCTCTAGAAGGAAAAGGAGAGGAAAGTTCCACCCCATCTTCTCCTTACCTCTACCCAATCCCATCCCCAAGAGGAAAAGACACAAAGTGACTGAATCAAGTTATCCAACTCAGTTAAACTTTTTCTTTTTTTGTTTTGTTTTGTTTTTTTTGAAACAGAGTCTTTCTCTGTCTCCCAGGCTGGAGTGCAGTGTCACAATCTCAGCTTACTGCAATCTCCGCCTCTCGGGTTCAAGCAATTCTCCTGCCCCAGCCTCCCAAGTAGCTAACTTTTTCTAAGTGGGAGAAGCTTTTTGTATACCAGGAGAAAATGTTAAAGCTTTAATTTCTGTGGGCTCTCACCTCTTTGGGGTTTCTCTCTTTAAGGTTCTCACTCTCTTTGGAATGCTTTTTTCTACTGTCACATGGCCAGTGTGATAAAACTGGACTGAAACTGCCTCTGAGCTGAGCTCAACAGAGACTGCTTTAGCTTTGGAGTAGGAGGGCCGGGGCCCAGGAAGCATAAGAACATATGTGTATATATTAAACGCTTGAGGTGTAGCCTATGCTAATCTCCTCTGAGTACCTGTGGCCACAAGAAACACGTAGGCAAGGATCTGAATGCAATTAGTATCTAAATATCTTCTCAATGAAAAATGTACTGATTTTTCTATAGTAAACGTCTAAATTACATCAGAATAGACCAAGAATTATGAGAAAACTTGAAATTCTGGGTCAGTGTTATTTATAATTCATGCATTGAGTACATCCCTCATTCAAAACCTTAGTTTTATTTATTTATTTATTTATTTTTATTCATTTGTTTTGAGACGGAGTTTCGCTCTTGTTACCCAGGCTGGAGTGCATTGGCGCGATCTTGGCTAACTGCAACCTCCGCCTCCTGGGTTCAGGCAATTCTCCTGCCTCAGGCTCCTGAGTAGCTGGGATTACAGGCACATGCCACCGTGCCCAGCTAATTTTTTTTTTTTTGTATTTTTAGTAGAGATGGGGTTTCACCATGTTGACCAGGATGGTCTCGATCTCTTGACCTCGTGATCCACCCGCCTTGGCCTCCCAAAGTGCTGGGATTACAGGCTTGAGAATTTTATTTTTATAAAACCTTAGAGGCATTTCTCTAAGAACACACTTCTTACAACATAGATCTCGCAGTCCAAGATCTTTATGAGAGTTCGGATGCAAGCAAGACAAATCCTGGGGGTTTTGTAAGCCTTCTTGCCAACGATTAAAGCCAGTAGACTTCTACCATAAAATGTTTCACTGGCTCTTACAGATGACCACAGTCCACTGCATAATCATTTAATATTCATGATGTATCACATATTTTGAATATTTAAATATACCACACTACATACATATACATATAACCTTATTTGAAAAGAACTGGATAATGGATTTAGGCATACCCCAAAGTGTTAAGGTCTTTCGTCACTTGGACAAGTCTGTGAGGAAAAGTCCACTTTGAAACAATATTTTTGTTAGCATGTGACTCAGAATGACAACTGTCTAATACCCACTGTCTACTTCTTTTTATTGATAGAATCCTTGAATTTTAAGGCATGAATGGCCACAAAAAACTATATTTTCAGGCCCTCCTTGTAGCTAGGTATGGCTGATGGGATGTGAGTAGAAACCAGGAATACCTGTGATTTAAACTCTTAATACTAATACATGTGGCTCAGTCACTTCTGTGACTGAGGTGAGAACATGCTTGTAGAAGAGAAGTCTGTGGCTTGGTGAGTATGCATGGCCAGCAGTCTCCAATCTGTGCAGGTATTAATGTGTCAGGGCTGAGTGTTCTAGGATTTCTCTAGAGGCTGGCAAGAGCTCCTGAAGCAGTTGTCATTTCTGTCTCACCAGTATATCAGGGTTGGAGAAGTCTAAGCCTTAGGACCCAGTTTCCTTTCTACCTGGTATTTTCCTGCCAGAATACCATGGGCTGTAACTTGCTTTGAGTTGGAAGCAGTTTGCATGTACACTTGTAAATTTATTCATCCTTTTAATTTATACAAGGTTTCTTTTGCACACAATTCTCAATTCTTTAAGCAATGACAACAAATTTTGGTTTTCTATTGTTACGTGAGAACATCAGGCCACAGCAACATGCTATTGTGTAAGGAAAAATAAACTGTTGCAGTTAAAAAAAAAAAAAGAGTGAGAAGTACAACCTCCAGGGAATGCCCTTAAAGAGAACGCTTATACATCTTCCGACATTAATGAGGCCAAACTCCAAGGTTAACAGAGGTATCACACAGAAGTTTACATCACCCTGACTCAACAATCCAAACATAAGAAACCAGAATGGCTAAACAGCTTTGTTGTGTCAAGGAGCTCCTTCTTTCTTAAGCCACTATACTTTGGGATCTCTTAACCAGAATATAGGTTAGGTTGCTTTAACAAAAATGTCACTTTATAGCTGACCTATCTCGGACAAATTACTTAAATTCTATAAACTACTTATTCTTTTGTCTGTATCTACTTCACAGGGTTGTCATCAGCAACATGAGACTGTGTCTTTTTGCGGGGAACTGGGTGGTGGTCTCATATCCCCAGCTTCTAGCACAGTACCTGCATATAGTAAGCATTCAATAAATACTAAGCTATTACTGCTGATCTTACTCATATGCCAGATCTAGACAAATAATGCCGGACCTTAACAACTAACCAGTCAGTATTTCTTTTCTTTTCTTTCTTTCTTTTTTTTTTTTTTTTTTGAGATGGAGTTTCGCTCTTGTTACCCATGCTGGAGTGCAATGGCACGATCTCGGCTCACCGTCACCTCCGCCTCCTGGGCTCAGGCAATTCTCCTGCCTCAGCCTCCTGAGTAGCTGGGATTACAGGCACACGCCACCATGCCCAGCTAATTTTTTTTTTTATTCTTAGCAGAGACAGGGTTTCACCACGTTGACCAGGATGGTCTTGATCTCTTGACCTCATGATCCAGTCAGTATTTCTAATAAAGATCTGATATAATATAAATA